GGCCTACAGTTAGTTTTTCTACACAACCCAGGGATAAAACATGTAATTCTTCTCCCAAATGATTAAAAAAATGATACTGTTATTACGTAACCAGGATACAGGATGTAACTAACAATAACAGTGGATGAATGAGCAAAAATATTTTAAAGGAGGAAGCAAGTTAAAAATAAACAGAAAGATTTACCTTTAACAGGATTGTCTGCCTGATAAAAGGGAGGATAAGGGATTACTTTCTTCTCTTGCAGATTCTGCAAATAAAAATACTCTTAAGTACTAAGAAAAAAAGCCCCCAAACCAACTAAACTGTAAGTTTTGGAGAAACTCCAAAGAATTGTTTTGTAGTGACTCGCTCTCTTGTTAACACTCATCACGTGCCATGATGAAGTCACTACATTTAAGTGGCAGGTGCACACCTTAAACTAAACCCAGCACTGGTCTAAGACACTGTAATACTACTGAAGTGCTTGGGCATGGCTTACACCACACTCCACCCAACTCAAATTCTGTAAACTGAGATGCAAAAAAAAAATTAAAGCATATTGCAAACTAGCAAGCAGGTGCCTTAATGGCAACAACACTTACAGGCAGATACTGTACCACTGTGCCATTTTGCCTCCCTACAGCCAGTTGTTTTCCCTTTGGGCTCCAACACACTAAACAAAAAAGAGAACTTCATCAGCATTAAGGAAATGTAGAGTTACAAGGTGCCATAAAGCAGGACTGATAAATTTAAGCCGCACTTAAATTACAAACTGAAAGAAGAGATGAAATTCTTAATCCTCACACTAAGTAAGCTGCAAACAAGTTTAAACTTCATTCCCATGTGCCTCTATACAGCTTAATATTGCTCTATAGTGGAATATATCCAGTTACATTTCAAACATATGCTTCAGTTGACACAAATATATGGGGACAAGTTGAAGGTACAGAGAGAGGCCTAAGAATTATATTAGAACTGTCACAAAGATGCACCAGTTGTGCTAAATTTGTGCAGAGGAATACAGCCAGTGGTAATTATCAGTGTGATTATATTAGCAGGTTTTTTTCATAGCCTTAGGGAGTTTAAATCCTTCTGTTCATGATCTATTTTAATTTTTTAAGAAATTTCTTCCTGAGACAGAAAGCTTGTCTTCTTACACTTGTGCTTCTTCTTTTATTCTTAATTATCCAACATTATCTTACCCAAGGCTCAAACTCACCAGATGTAACAGCTACCGAGGGAGGCAACGTGGCATACACTTTCACAGAGTCTGTGACCTGCAGGACAGAGATGCTGCCATCGGACAGACAAACAGCCACCATGGTGGGACTAGCAGGGTTCCACTTCAGGTCATTGACCATTGCTGCACTTCCTGACTCCTTGCCCAGCTTGTGATAAGCAAACATACGCTTCTGCTGTTTTGCCTTTTAGGAAAGAAAAATGTTTGAAACAGTCCAAGCTGAGCTGAAAAAACATTTCTCATAAAGTCATAATCCAAAACAGTTTTGGCCAACCTATAAATTAGCAACTGACAGAAATAAGTGGGGCTTTAAACTAAGGAGGGTAGATTTAGATCAGATATTAGGAAGAAATTATTTACCTAGAGGTTGGTAAGGCATTGGAACAGGTTGACAAGAGAAGTGTTGGATGCACCTTGAAGTGTTCAAGGCCAAGCTGGATGGGGCCCTGAGGAACCTGGTCTAGTGTAAGGTTGGAACTAGATGATTTTTAACATCCCTTCTAACCCAAACCATTCTATGATGCTAAGAAGCAGATTTTGAGTTTAATAAAAAACTTCTTTACAAGATACCTCCCACAGGGGCAGAAAGCACCACTCAAGGCATGACAATCCCCCTGATATAGTTAGAGGGAAGTAAAACAAAACACTCTGTGTACAGTTTACCTGATTAAAGAATGTGCGGACATCAAAAAAGCCAATGAAGGAACCAATGTCACTGGACATCATACAGACAGACAAGGTGAGATTATCACAGCTGAGAGCCAAGTGCTGCACTGGAAACTTCACGGGAACTGAGGTACTCTGGACATTTTCCACTTAAAACACAAAAGATGAGGAGGAGAGGATGAAGTGTATGGATTTAAACAGCAAAAATTTTTAAAACAATGAAGTTAGAAGTTTATACAAAAGTCATTAAACATTCAGTATTATAAACAGCTGTCAGAATTGATGCAGAAAAATTCACTGAGTGAAAGAAAGCCCTTCATCTCTAGCAATAGTCTTAAAAGTCTCAAATTTCTTATAAAAGAAAATGACACTTTCATTCCTCAGTAATCTGGAGGAAAAAAAGTGGACACTTTCCAGGTTTTACTCATGGTACATACAGAGGGATACTTCAAGTAGTACAGTTACCAATGACAACATGAGAATGAAAACCAAGCAGTTTTTATTGCCACCAAGTTTTCATGCCATTAAATGCACTTTGGTAGTGAGGTGGCAGAACAGCCATCACTTCCTCCCTTGTAGGATAGTCCAAGTCCAAGCTTATTTGGGATTAGAATCCCATCCCTCTCTCCTGTCACAAACATCTCTGATATACACATAGTTTTGTGGTTAGAGACTAGTTACTAACAGCAGACCACAACAGCGAAGACCACAACATATAAAAGTGTCTTACCAATGCTATTGGGATCTTCTCCAAGCTGATTTTGCATGAGAAGATCTCTAGTGTGAAAGATCTGCAGGCTGGTTCCTCCACCAGCAAAGACCAGGCCGTATTTGTTAGACACTACAAGGAGACTGCACCGCTCTTTGGGAAGATCATCAGGAGGATCAAAGATGCGGACCTTCTTCAGAGCTCTGAACTGAAAATCCTGTTGGAACAGAGTCCAAAAGTTGCTTTATGTATGCTGGTGAACATAAATGGTTTGCTTCAGTTTCAGCTGAAAAGTCTCTCCATGAGAGCTGCAGAACACCCATACCCATGCTGGACATCCTATCACATTTTCTGTTTTGCCTACAGAAGACTGAGATCACAGTTTTGCTGTTATTGGAAGCACTGGTTGAAGCTCTCTTCTATACAGCAGCCTGCTTTCATAAAACTTGTAGGAGCTGAATCTGTCTCAGACATTTAACTCCTCTCAGAAACATACCTGAAACTAGCCAGTGGATACAGGGAGAAGAAAGAGAAAGAAACAAAAAACTTGTTGCCTAAAAGCTACAAAGCACACAACTAGTTAGCTTATCTTTGCTAGTTACTGTAGTTTATCATACACAGAACAGATACAGTTCTTCCTTCCACCACCACCAGCAGTTACTCAGTACAGACTTATTTTGTGCACTCACTTATCTCAAAACTTATGCTGTCCTGATGTAAAAGGAGAAAAAGAAGAGCAAGGTAAGAAATACAAATGCAAAAACACGAATTAAGAAACAGTAGCTGCACTATTACTATGCAAAACTGTGCTCACATCAGGAATGAGCATCTCTTCTCCAACCACTGACCACAGCACTGTGTTTAACATCACTACCTCAAACCAAGCACCTGATGCTTATTTCATTTTGCCAAAGCACAGAAAAAATTGCATTTCTGCAATCTCAGGAAGCTGCAGGAACTCAGAATCTTCTACAAAATGAACAACCCAAATCTTTGGTTTTGAAAGTGTCTGAGCAGAAAGCAGCTGCACCGAGATTCAGAGGGCTGGAGGAACACATGCTGACAGTCCTGTTCTGCTCACACAGCCTCACAGCAATGCTCCGGAAAACACAGGTGGGCCAAGCTGGCAGCATGCAAAAAGACTCCAATTGACAGCAAACAACCACACCTGCTCAAGTCTCCTGTTCTCTCAAGCACGTGGTCCCCAAAACAAGGCTCACAGCCAGGAGGGCTCCAAAATGCATCACTCCTCTGCCCAGGTGAGCTCCTTCCACCCCTCCCTCCAGCTCTCCCAGTGTTTCAAGAAAACAAACAGAGCCTAAAGCCTCCCCACACACCCCAACTTTACCAGGACACCTCTCCACTGCGCCCCGAGCCGATCCATCCCTCCTCCACTCCACAGCCTTGTCCGAGAAGCTCTCAAACGCACCCCAAGCCGTGCAGAGGTTCCCCAACAACCCCCCCCAACGCCACGAACCACACACACATACACCCCCCTCCCCAGCCTGTTAGGCCCCAGTGACCAACCCCCCCCAGCCTACCACCCTCACAGCCCACACCAAACGGCCAGAACCGCGCTCCCCTAAGGGCCCTCACAGCCCCACAGCGCTCTGTCATCCTCCTCACGGCCGGAGCCCGAGCCCGCCGGCCTGCCACCCCCTCAGAGCCGAACTCACCTTCATCTCCCTCTCGGGGACCAAGTCCCCGTCCTCCCCCATGGTGGCGGTGCCGCAGCCACGGACCCGCCCTCACAACAGCGCACAAACGCGGAATTCCGCGCACCACCGAGGAGACCCGCGCGACGCCGCGCTCACTTCCGCTTCCGTCGCGGCCGCTCTAGACACCGCCTCTCTATGGTCGCTGGTGGCCGGAAGTGCCGGCAGTCCTCCCACGGCACAGGCTGTGCGGGTCTTAGTGCTGAGCCCGCCCTCACTGTTAAATAAAGCCTTTATTCCTTGCGTCACGCAGCTGGGGAGTGCCTCGGCTGCTTCTCCTACAGCACGGCGCCGGTTGACATCGCTGCCCCAGGAAGAACCCGTCTCCATTTTGATAACTCACACCAGATAACCTCAGGCAATTGCTTCAAGAGCAGAGAGGATGAAAAAGTAATCCCACGAGGAAAGGGCTGCACGTGTCTGCTCTCCATAAACACTCATTGGAACAAGCACTGCCACCTGTTTTCTTTATAGGAGGTCAGGCTGGCTTTCAGGAGGTGCCCTCTGTATTTCGTAACATGAACTCAAAGGCACTGGGTCAGTTCTTAGTGATAAAAATCAGTCCAAACCTATCTCCAGGATCTGCTGGAGGGGTTTGTATTAACCAGCGTGGAAAACAGCTCAGCTAATCTGCAACCAATCATTTGGACCAAACTTCAGAGAAACTGAACTGAACACGCTGACACGGTGTGGCTTCAGGAGATTTATTTTCAGTCTTTAAAGGAGACTGGTGCTGCTCTTACAATTTTTCTCTCCATTACAGTTTTGGTTTTCACGCGGACAGCAGTGAGACTGGTTTTTCTTTAAAAGTGCAGCCTTTGGCAGGAACAATAAGCCTAGTCAAGTTAATCATCTGTGTTTTCCTTTAAAAACTATTAAACCGATTTTTAAAAAGTTCAAAGCTGCCAAGAACATTTAAGAAAAACGGGGAAAGGGCAAAGAGCAAACATCTGGATTCCAGAAGTTGTGCGAAGAGCAAGATTCACTGCAGTAACCAGAGTGTGGGCAGTGCAGTCCCCGCACTTAGCCCACACTTACAGCCATCATTAGTTTGTAAGCTTTGGGGTTTATACATCAGGGAAGCGTGGCTGGTAGTCCCACAGGACAAGCTGAAACACATGCAGAGAGATCTGCAAAGTCAGAGAGAGCAGATGCATGAAGAAAGATCCTCATCCACAGCTGGTTTGGAAAAGCTCACAGGGCTCACAGTTTGGGCACCTACCCTCCTTCTAATTTCCCCCAAAGCCTTCCTGAGGGGCTGCAAAAGCGTAACAGCAGGCTTGTTTCTATGCTTGGGCAGACAGACAACTTGTTCAGCAGTTATGCTCCTGGTCTGATCCAAGTAGTTTTATCAGAAAGAGGATCATAAAGTAGCTTTAATGATCCCCACTTGCTGGTGTTGGACTTCTCCCTTCCCAGGACAGAACTGCAGCTTGGCCCTTTGCAGATCAACTCTGTGACTTTCTGCTTGCCTCTTTTGCTATGGCTGATCAACAAGTCTCATCAACAAGTCTCAGAACAAACCCAAACCAGGAAGGGGCAGGGGAAGGACCTAAAGCTAAAAACAGCAATGGGCCAGTGGCTTTTCCTCAGATGAAACAGACTTTGCAGAACTTATTCCTGTAGTCGTGGCTCAGTTGGATTTACGCATCAGGGCTGCAGAGGCACCCCTGAGTTTGTCTGCATTTTGTTCACAGCATCCCATGGAGGGTTCTTGTCTTTGCCTTGTAGCCAGCCGTTAATACAATGGACACAAGTTCTAATCTCATTTCCAGTAGGAGCTAGCAGGACACTGTCTGCATGGTTACTCACAGAGCATGTTCCTGCTGACAGGTTAGCTCTGATCCTGTCCTAAGGCAAACTACAGAGGAAGGGCTCAGAAAATTGGCTTGAGAACAGAAGGGCACCGTGGCCCTACTGCCTTTCAGGGAGGTGGGGACTTCAGGCAGTGACTTCTGAAAACGTGAACACCTGTGATAAGCACTTGGTTCAAGGTGAAGCCCAATGAATAACCTTTAGCTGCTAGATTCAATGAGAAGTGTTCCCTTACAACATCCCAGCCTCAGCAGCTGACAAAGGTCTTCCAGAAGTAGAGAACCCAGGCACATCAGGGACATCCCATGCTGATTGTGTAGAACTTGCTCCTGGGGCTGATGAGAACACAGATCCAGGACTAGGATCTAGATTCCAGTCAGGAAGCATAGGACAGAACAGAAGGCACTTATTTGCACCCATGAAGCTGCTATCTGATAGCAAGTCTCTTCAGGAACCTGTTGTGACAAGCACAGCTCTGAATCCATCAGCTGGGTGGAAAGCTCCTTCTTAGCTGAGAAATGCAAGAAGGGCAGGGGAAAGAGATAAGATCACAGGACTTTTTTTTTGGTCTCACATTATACTTGGTGCTACAGCTTCTGTCTAGAAAGTCAAGTTAGCTAAGGGATGCTGCAGAAAGATGCGAGCTGGGGTTACCAGCTTCCCTTGATGTTCCTCTAAGGCAGGTTAGTTGAAAACTAGGACTGTTCACAGTAAAGAGTAACAAAGCACAGGTAACCTCTGTTACAGACCAGCAAAGCAAACAGTGCCAATTTTCCAGCCTGTCCTCTTCAAGGGAGGCTGGCTATATCTCTCTCCGGAGGTGGACCGGAAGGTTTTGGGTTGCTTTCATTGGCTTTTCCTTCAAACATCATGACCCTGCAAAACACAATAGATAATACATATTAAAAAAAGCAGGTGCATCTCTACTCATCATTGAGAGTGGGATTATCTCACCTTCTATGCAATGGCCATCTGATAATTACAGAGGACAGAAGCCAACAGAGGGCAGTGCTGCCAGCTGAGCCGGCAGCTTTGCTTTTCCAGCAGCTTCAGGGAGCGAGTTCCCAAAGCCTCTGCTGGTTTTCCTCCCAGAGCCCAGAGGATTAGCATGTTTTATTTAGACAGCCACTTCCAACATCCCCTGGGTGCACGCTGCATGCTAAGTGCTCCTAAGCACCATCCCTGGCCCACCTTGTGCATAACCATCCAGTAGAACGTTCAAAAGCCAAGCCAAACAGCAATTACAACCAGGAAGAGGACAGATACAAGGAGCAATGCAGTAGCTAGAAGAATCCCAAGCATTTTGCAACAACCAGCGCTGTCTTCCTCCCTAAGGACTGCAGCTACGCTGGGAATGCCAGCTGCCAGGCTGGATCAAAGGAGTGCACTGCACTTGGGACGAGTTTTACATTTCTGCTCCTGCTCTAAACACTGCTCAACACACAATGGGGCATCTGTTTGTTAGCAAAAGAAGGGACCCATCTGTGAAAGCTGCTGCAGTTGGAAGAATAGACGATATGGGGCCGGCTGCAGGCTCAGCCTGTTTCAATGAAGAGGAACAGAGTTGACAGAAGAGCGTGTGCTTGGAAAAGGAGCATCCTGACATGCACTGAGGGGGAGAGAAGAGATTGCAAAAAGAATGTAGCAGCTCAGAGACATCCTTCCTCCCAACCTGCCCAGAAAGCTGGCTGCCTTTTTAAAGCTCTTTTCAGAAAGGGGCAGGGGGCATGGAGAGGAGCGGCTCCTATTCATGGTGGGCAGACAAAAGGAGGATCAGCCTCTGTGGCTGAGAAAGGAAAAGACAGGCTTCAATGGGGTGGAGAGGGAGCCAACAGAACCCACCCTGATACCAGAGGGAGCCAAGTAAGCAGTGGGAAGCCATTTGTTACAGCAGGACTTTGAGAGCCCTGTTGAGAGGGCAGAGGAGGCCGTGGGAGGCGAGTGCTGGCAGCTGGTAGCACAGCAAACCTCCCCCAGCACAAGCCAGCCGTCCCAAGCTGGTGTCTTCTCTCCACCTAAGCTCAAGTTTCAAAAAAATCAGGCAGGGAGGGAGCATTCTGTGGGTTACAAGACCCTCATTTACTGCTCACATCCTCCCTCCTCTTGCGCAAGGGTCCTCCTCTCTCACCGCATCCACCCAACAGGCACAGCTCCAGCTCTGCCAGGCTGGAGAAATTCCTCTTCCCAGCTCCCCCAGCACCTCCCCCCATCCCTTCCTGGATGGCACTCACAGTTTAAGTACAGCAGAGCGTTTGCCAAGCATCACATTAACGAAGTCCTGGTAGGAGATGGTCTCGCTAACCCCTCCGGTCACCTCAGAGATCATCTTCTTCAGCTCTAGATGGGTCTTCGGAACACCCATCTTCTCCATCATCCTTTTGACAGACATCAAATCTGCAAGAGTGAGGCATCAGCACTATTGAAGGATAACTACACCGCACACGCACCAATCTGGAGGCACAGGCTGGAGCTCGCAGCTCACCTCTTCACTAGGGCTGATGGCATGAAGCTGTCAGCTGAAAGCAGAGAGAAGCCCTCAGTGCAGCCCCACTGCTGCATGGGCAGCAAGGAACAGCACTTCCTATTCATGCAGCTCGAGAATAAAAGAAAAACATACTGTTGCAAAAGAACAGTGCTCAAGAGGCACGTAGGGACACCGTTATTGAGCTCAGAAAGCAGTGCCAAGAATCACAAAGATGCAGAGGGAAGAAAGCAACACTGAGGTTAAAGCTGGAGACAAAGAGGCTCTGGGAACAAGCACTCCTGCCCAGCACTGCAGGTCATTTCCTTCCATTACTCTCACCAGGCCAGAGTCCTGCAGCCCCTTCCCACCAGGGCAGCACAGCAGGGCCAAGCTCCTCCAACTCCCTGGGCTGATTTCAAGGGCTGATGGAGGAGGGGAGCCAGGCAGGAGCCTCCTGCAAAGGCTAAATGCAAGCACTTGCCCTCAGATGCCTGCTCCAGGCATGGAAAAACCTGCATCTTTACTATACTTCTGCTTTCCAGCCCTAAGGCAGGGCCCTCTTTGCCCAGCCACACAGCCACTTCCTCTTCTTCCCTCCACCTCCACCCCAGCAAACAAGTGCTTCTCCACGCCACAAGTGCTCGTGGTTTGACACAGCTTCCTCCTCCAGCCAGGCAAAGCCCAGGAGAGCCCAAGCCCTGCAGCTTCCCTGCTCAGGAGATGCTGAGGGTTGAAAACAAAAAGGCCTGAGTGGAGAAAGAGAATAAATCATTCAGAGCAGAGACATAAGCAAAGGAGGAGATCAGCACTGAGAAAAGTGAGATCACAAAGCAGGCAAGAGATTGAGAGAGCCAAGAGCAGGGGCTGCAGAGCCAGGAAGCCTCCAGCTGGGGTCCAGGAGCTGAGCAAGGCTCGTCCCAAGAGCAGCCCATGATTTTTCTCCCCAGAATCCCAATTGCAAAGGGGAGCAGCAGTCAGCAGCAGACACCCACTCAACAGGCTGCTGCTTTTCCAGCCCAGTAACAACGTCCTTGTGTCACTCACCAATCTCGCCTTGGTTGTTCAGGTCAAACTCCATGTACTTCTCTGGAAGAGACACAAAAGCAAGTTAATGGGTCAGAGCTGCTCTGGCAGGGAGACCCAAAGCAGGGGACAGCAGGGCTTTGGAGCACTGCCTGCTTAGAGCAGTAAAACAGGAGGTTTGGGCATAGACTGATGCAGGTCAGAAAGGGAGATGATCTCAAGACCTGGTTTTAGCACCCTTATCTCAAGTCCAGGGCTCAAGAGTTAAGTGTTCTTTAATTATGGCCACTTTTGTTTGAGCTAGAAGAAAACACTGGCACGAGAACAAGGTATCAGCTAGCCATGGGTAGCCTTAAACGGCTTCCAGCCAGAAAAAACAAAGCTCCCAGAAGGAGTAGCAAGAAAACCAAAACCCTGAGCACTCCCAAGACCAATCTTGATCGGATTAGGAGGGGATTAAGTGACGTCGTTTCCTGCAATAGCAAGGGACAAACTGCACGGCCCTCCCAACACCATGCTGCACTCCAGAGCAGCACCAGCCAGCAGAGATGCTCAAGGACCACATGAAGAGGGCAAAGCCAAAATCGTGCCTAGGAGCAGAGACACTGGAACTGCTGCTTGCCCTCCCAGCCTGGTGTCAAACCTCCCCACACCAGGCAGCTCCAGTGTCCTCAGAGAAATGCAGCCTGCAGACAGCAGCCTGCACAGCTCTGCAGAAAGCAAGCTGGCATGTCATGAAATAGCACTGAGCTAAGCCAGGAAAGGAGGATTTCAGTCCCCTGCTGCTTCTGATCTTTGCAGAGGCACACCTATATTTCTTACCCAACCTCTCCCTTGCTAGCTGTTTCCCATTTAGACTGTAAGCTTTTCAGGCAAGGATTTGTCCATCTTTCAGACCTTACAGCTCCTTGCGCTGCAGGGCTCCTTGCCTCCATCACCTCAATTCCGCTAAATAAAAGAGCAAGATGCCTGCTGCCATCATCCATCCATGCACAGCTGGAGAGCTCTCCACTTGCCCTGCGCTTAGCACTCAGCCCCCAGAAGAGCCTCTAAGGACTCAAATTAGTTGAAAGCTCCCAGGCTGCTCCACTCCCCAAAGGGAAGAATCCCTTTGCCGCAGTTCCAGGGACACCAGCAAGCAGATGAGCGTGAACTGAGTAGTGGCAGGCTAATTTAGGGAGCCGAAGGGAAGCAGGGATATTTCACACATTGGAGACTTGCCCCAGGACTTGTGCTGGGTGAACCAGGCTGGTGTGCAGCCCCAGGCAGGAAGCAGAGGAGCTGCTTGGCATAGTTCCACATGGTGGACTGCCGTCACAAGCTCAGCAAAATGGATCTATAGGAATACAGGAACTAAGCAAAGCAGTGTATGCTTCAGACACAAACAAATGCCTCTCTTAGAGCACTAAGCAGCTCATTCTTAGATGAAACTGGGCCATCACACACATTCAGGGGCCAAAGCAATGCTTGATGTCCCCCCCACACAGCAATGGCCTTGTGCAAATGAAGTGTCACCCACAGGCAGGGTCAGTGCTTGGGGACACAACCCCTGCTCTGCCATCTCTGTGCCCAGCACATGTTTTCCTTTCTCCTCAGCTGACGCTGAGCCAAAGGCACGGAGAACAGAGGAGCTTTACATCACCATGTGTTAAGCCTCAGCTCACACATTTGTTTTTCCCTCCCATCCCAGCTGCAGGGATTTGGTGGGGCAAAGCTGTCCTGCAGTCCTTCCTCCTTATTTACACAAACACCAAGTGCAAATGCATTTACAGAGTGCAGAGGGGCTCCCAGGTCTCCTGCTGGGGAGGGGAGCAGAAGAACTGGCAGAGAAATGCTCCCCCCTCACACAATGAGCCATTGTTGTTGGAGATGGAGGCAGTGTTGCAGAGCAGGACAGCCACAGAAGCAAACTCCTGAGAAGGCAGCAGGAAGAGATGCCAAGGGCTCCTGTTATAGGGAATTCTGTGCTCATGACCTATGGCTGCAATGCCTGAAGAGTCCCAGTTGTGAAGGAAAAATACAGTAGGGCTGCAGCCTCAGTTGGGTTTACATGGTAAGGCTTTGGTAGCAGAGGGGCCAAATCCTCCTGAAGGTTTTGTCAGATCAGAGCCAGCTCCATAAGGGACACACTGCTGGGCCAGAGCTGAGTCACCAAGTACTGCTGGTTGCACTCTGAGTATATTTAAGAAAGGGAAAAAAGCTGTGCAACAGCAGCTGAGAGAGCCCACGATGGAGCAGACAGTCCCCCTGCAGCCCACACAGCAGATCTCTGTGTGCAGTCCATGGAGGAGCCCACAGTGCAGCAGGTGGATGTGGTCTGAAGCCATCGCACAGCAAAGAGCCAAAGCCAGAGGGCAACAGAAAGGATGGAGAGCACAGGAGGCTCCAGCAGGGCAAGACAAAACTCCAGCCAGCTTTCTCCATGCTACAATTTCTAGCCAAAATTCACAAGGAAATAGCAGACAATGCCTGAAATGGAAGCAAGGTCAGGCTTGGTTTGGCTGGAACCAGGCTGAGGACAAACCTGGAGGGCACTGACACAGAAAGCATGTTTTCTCAGAGGCTGCGGGGGAAATGACTGCTTTCAGCCACTGCTTGAGAATAAACTGGCTGCACGCAGAACAGCCAGATTTTGTCCTTGAAGTACTCTGGGGTACAAACTCAGAGGACACCCTGCAGAACCAGGTGTTTGAGCTGTTCTTCCAGCCCCCAGCCCAGCAGATATCCAAACCTAAGCCCCACACTTGCTGAAAGCGGAGCTGGACACGCTTTGGGCAAGACTGGATTAGTGCTGCTGGCTCCAGCACTGATGCCTCGGAAAGAACTAGAGCAGAAATTGAAGAAACTTTAAGGGAGAAAAACGCTCATTCAGGATGCAGGGAAGAAGTCCTCCCACCAGCTACTGCCTCATCTGTGACAGCAGCCAGCTTGACTCAATATTGAGACAGCAGCTTTCCTCTGGGGGCTCTCCCACGCCGCAGGTTGTGCAGCAGCAGCCGCCCGCAGGCAGGATGTCTGCATAGTAACATGGCACTGCCCTGAGAGAGCAAGTGGGGGAAGCACAAGGACTCTGGTGGGAACAGCACCTCCAGGAAGCTTCTCTGCATCCCAGTGATACGGGGGAGGTTTCCATCTCAGCTCAGTCCCTTCTGTTATTCAGCAGAAAATCTCAGGCTGGTGAGAGAGAAGCGCTGAAGAAAAGGATCTGTTCAGAGCAAATGGGAGAAAAGAAAACCAGTTCTCACCTTTGAACACTGCCAGCTTCTCTTCCAGATCTTCCTCATCACTGAACTTTGGGTCACAGAGAAATTCCTGAAACGGTTAAGAGAGTATCCCTAAGGTTAGTGAAAGGAAAATAGCCTGGAGGGCATGCATGCACACAGTGCTGCCCAGCAGACCTACGCAGCTCCCAGACAGCCACATCTGAGCAACAGTGCCAGAAGGGTTAAAAAAAAAGAGTCTGACCTCTCTGTACCTTGCCATTAACTGCCTCCAGTGCCTCTGACTTCCCACCTGCACAACACCCCTCATACTGCTTCATGTTCATCCAAAGTTTCAGCTCCCAGCATCTCTGCTCAAAGCATGCACAGCACAAGGATTGGGATCTTATTCTGAACCAGGACTCCTGTTCCTGGCTAAAAGCACTCATCTCAGATTTTAAACTCCTGGGTCAACACTGGGGGCTAACAGATAGAACGTGCAAAGCCTGCAGACCACCACACACCAAAGAGGGCAGGAATTGAGAGGGTAGGAACAGGGCTCCATTTATCTGTCTACTCATTTCTCCCCTGTTACACTGCTCAGCGTGGATGAGAAATCCCAGGTCAGCTCTGGTTGCTCATCCCAACCCAACCTCCAAAAGCTCCAGGTGCCTGAGAGCAGAGCCCTGCCAGCCCCACCACTGTGCCCCATCAGCATCATGGTCCTGCTCCTGCCCTCCCACACCGCCCCGCTCCAGCAACTTAATGACTCGATCTGTGTTCAGAAACAACACTGCATTCTTCAGAGCAGAAGTCATTAACATCTGCACAGCTCGTGCACTGCTCGTCCAGCACAGAACTCCTCCAGAGGCTCGAGTGGAGAGAGCTGAGGCTGTTCCCTGCTCTGTGCACGTTACTCACCAGTTACCCATGCTCACAGAGGCTGGATGGGGTGGCCCCTATGAGACAACAGGTAGCAGCCAGCACTGGTAGTACTGGTACAGCATCACACCATCACTGTGAACCCAGACAGATGTGTCTGCTACCTTGCAGAGTCCCAAAGTGACACCAGGGACCCTGGTAAGTAAACCCATGAGACACAGGCTCTCTTCCACACCATGGGCATCAGCTCAAGCTGAAAGCTCTGAGGAATAGCAGTGTTCCCAGTTCCTTCTTTCATTCTCTTCAGCCAACCTGCTTTTACTGATTTCAGCGTTTTCTACCCAGGGATATCATGTGCCTGCCCAGCACAAAGGGACAATTGGGCTTTGAGACCTGAGTTCAGCCCAATGAAGTCACCAGAGAGCAGAGTCGTGTTACCCACTGAACAGCCTTTATAAGAGGGGATTGCCAAACCTCCCTGAGAACCGAAATGGAGCCAGAGCATCGCCAGGTCACAGCTCCCTCCTGCCCCATAGGAGCTGCACACATGGGCAGGATAGGGGATAGGAGAGGAGAGTAGGGGAAGGCAGGACAGCTGCATCCCAATGGGGTGGCTGAGGGAAGTTGTACCTGCTGTGAGACCTCAGGCACGTGGCAGGATGGGGGACACCAGGCACACCTGGCACCCAGACTCCATTCATTTCACTCACAGGGGAACTTCAGCTGTTCAGCTCAAAGGGAGCAGTATAGTTCAAAGGCATTCCAGCCAGCATATTGTATGCAAGCTGCCCCACCACAGTGATAAGGCCAGAACTCACAATAGTGCATGGGAATTTGGTCCCCAGGGCCGGTGACTCAGTCACAGCCCAAGTGGCTGAAGTTCCTTTGCTAATATGCCCATTTTAGGGGGCTTGTTCTATTAATAAGAACTGCTTAAAAATAAGCCCAGCCACCCCCCAGCTCCTGCTCTTTCATGGAGAAAGAGACATATCCAGGCAAGGAAATCCAGCCACACAAATCTCAGCTACTTGCAAAACAATCTGCAATGCCAGATCCTTCCTCACTCCCCAGAAAGGCTCCAGTCAGCAAGCCAGGCTCTCCTGTGGCTGTTTCCCTGCCTGCAGAAGTTGGAAAGGGGCTGAGGGATGCTCATGCTCGTCCTGGACATGGAGCAGGAGGCACCTGCTCCCCACCAGGCTGAGCTCCCTGCAGCCCAGTGCATTAGGAGGTGAAACCAGGTTGAAACTAATCTGTGCTGGATTAGGCTTGCCACCTTGATGCACAAGGCAGAACAATGTGATCGCCATTCCCAGGAAGATGGGAACAGCCAGGAGGGGGATCCCAGAGGAGCTCTTGAGGCTGGAAGGAAGAGTCCAATGCTGGGCTCAGCTGGCTTTCAGCAGCACGTGTGCACTCCAGACATTGCCTGCCTCCAGACCCTTAACCGAGTGAAAACTCTGGGGTTGAAATCAGCCAGGAAAACAGGGCTGGGTGGGAGCTGTTTGTTGGGATGAGACAACGAGATTATGCCTGATAGGAATGTGGAAATCATTTTTATGAGGAGTAACTCTCCTGGTCTGCAGCCCTGGGACAGGGCTTTGGAAGCCCCTTCCTTGACTACAGCCACAGTCAGCCAGCTCTGCAGCTGGGTGTTCCATGCAGGAGCTGCTTCCCTGCATGGCTGCTCACAACAGCCCCCACCACCAGCATGCAGAGCACAGTGCATCACCGTGGGGTTCACTGCAGTGACTGCTTGGGGTCTGAGGGTAGCTGCTCTGCAGCTCTAGTTGCTCCAATCCCCTCTCCCAGCACCAACACAACACACAGGACAGCAAGGACACAAACAAGTAGCTCCCATCTCCAAGAGCAGGGAAGTTACGAAGCTTGTTTCATTTTTTGTCATCCAGACCTCGCCAAGAGGAACAGCCTGCCAGAAGCAACGGCTGCTTTGAGAGAACTAGAAGCTTATGCCCTGCATGAGAGGAAGAGGAGCTTCCAGGGCACAGCACTGGGTATTATTCTGCAGCGTGCACAGCACTGCAGCTCATCCCCACAACTACTGCCTGCAGGAGGGTCCCACACCCACCCCAAACCAGGCTGCAGGACAACCCTGAAGCAGCAGAACTGCAGTAATGGGTGCAGCAGCCTTCCTTCCAATCCAAGTGGACAGCATCCCCTATGGGAATGCTTGAAGACCACCTGCCCCTGTGCTGGGGCACCTCATCCATTTCAAGCAGTCTGTTACAAAGGCTCTATTTTAGCCAAGTGCTCCTATTACCCTGCAGCACCTCCTGGGTTGTAATCACCTAATTCCCTCCCCAGTGACCTACATAACCTCCACCTCAGCTCTCAGCCCTGCCGGGAGGAACACACTAGCACTTCTCCTTGCCAGTTAATACAAGGGCAAAGCAAAGCAAACCCACTGGCTCCTCCAGGCTCCCAGCTGGTGCAGCTCTGATTTCCCCACCTCTAACACAAAGAGGGCACTGCCTGCATCAGCAAGGCATCATCAACCTCACTTGAAAGTGACCCAAAAGTGACCCTAAGTGATCTTGTTTCAAGGTTAAAACCCCCTTTTCACCCTCAGAATGGCTCTCAGCAGAAGGGACACCATAACTCATGTCAAGGCAGAGGTGTGGCAAACCCCCAACTCAAGGAGGGGACTCCACCAGAGCCCGCTGCCCAGGGCACAAAGCTCAGCACACTTTGCCCTTGATCCAGAAGCTGCGTTCTCCCTGCCCAAGGCCTGCGGGTCATCCAGCAAACTTCACCTTGCTGTGATTAAAGAGTTAAGAACCTTGGAGCAGCTCTTCAGAAAAGCCAACAGAGGAACTAAAATCACCTTACACAGGGAGGGGAGAATGAGGAACAACAGCTCCCATGGCTGCTGGGCTGCTTTCCCAAAGAGAACTTCACAGCACGCAGCACAGAGCACCCATAGGATGGGGGAAGAGCAGCCATCTCGGAGGGCAACCCCATAGACAGAGGGGACGGAGAACCACCGCACGCAGCGCTCCCACCCCGCTCCGTCCATTTCCTCCGGGAGGACACCTGCCGCAAATCGGGGGCAGCTGGGGGCGGCTCCTCCCGATCCTCCCGCAGCCCGCAGCCCCCCGCCCGCACCTTATTGATCTCCTCCAGCCGCCCGTCCTGCGGGGCACGCCGCAGTCCCCCTCCGCTCGGCCGTCGCGGAGCCGCCATCGCGCAGAGCCGCCCCGTCCCCCGCCGCCGCCTTAAGTAGGGGCGGGCCGGGCCGGGCCGTAGGGCCCCCGCCCCCGCTGTTAACCCCTTCCCTGCTCCACGGGGAACGCGAGCCCGGTGTCCTCGGGATGGAAATCCGCAGGGAAGTTCAGATTTCAAGAAAGAAAAAGTGAGAAAACGGCAGAGCGGCACCCAGCCTGCTCGCGGTATTCCCCGACGGGCGGGACGTGACCGAGGAGGGTCGGGAAGAAGACGGGAAAAAGACGGGATGGGGATGAGAAGGGGACGAGAAGGGGACGGTCTCCCCCTAGCGCACAGCCCGGGGGTGCCGGGGCATTGCTCCGGCCGCAGAGCTCCGAGCTGCTATCTGGGAGCAGCTGTGCAAAGCACGTCGGAGCACATTGCACCTCGCACAGGAGCGCACCGATGTGTGTCCCGGCCGGGATCTAACACGAGAGGTGGCCTTCAGCCCCTCGCATCCCCGGCAATCTCAGCGAGACATCGTTTTTCTAAGTGCTGTAGTAAAGCGTTCTTAGCAGGAGGCGGCGAGCAGTGCCCCGCGCCGCCCCGCAGCTGCGTTAAACCCCATGGGCATCCCTGCAAAAAGCAGCAGCAGCACACGTACAGTGTGTGCTCGTCCTGCTGCCTTGCACCCGGGGTGGACGGGCAGCTCCGTGTTACGTGAAGAACTTTTAATGGATACAGCTGTAGGCAAGTGTCACCGGCTACAAAAACAGCATGCCAGGAAGAGCAGAAAGGAGAGTAAGCCACATCTCCAGCCACGCACACGAGGCAGGGGCTCGACGTTTCTGTATCAGCAGCAAGCTGGTGTGCTGAGCTGAGGCATGTAATTGTCTTCTCTGGGAGACAGCAGTGCCTGTGACTCCTTGCCTCTCAGCAGAGCCGCATCACCCTGTGCTCTCACTGCTGCATGGCTTTGCTTTTGCTGAGCGTGGAGCCCCTGCCATTATGCTCCTTGGGCAGAAGGGGAAGATGGGTTTGCTCAGAGCAGGAGAATGCTGTGCCCTTTTGGACCAACAGAAGATGGAAGTGGGGGAATCCAAGGTCTGTGTCAACAGTTTTACAAATAGCATCACATCAGACTTCAGCAAACCTGAGCTCCTGTGCTGTGAGCAAAGGAACACAGGTAAAGCAGGTTAATGAGTGAACTGGGCTCCAGCCTGTAATGGACCTCTGTGCTGCAGTGGGGAAGGAGGGATGGAGGGTTGTGTCTAGTGTGGAGGAGATTGGTGACAGTTCTTTGTTCTCTGCCTGGTGAAAGCAATGCTGTGACAGCTCTGTCCACATCGCATCCATCCCCTGTGGCTGCTTTGTCTCCTGGCCTGAAGCTATGCACAGGGCACTTGGATGCTAAGTCAGAAAATGTGTGGGTAAGGACCTGAGTGCAATATTGTATGGAGGGCAATGTAAAGAGCAGCAGGAGGGAAGATGCTGGTAAAGTGGGTGTCCTTCACTCTGCTGGTCACCGTTGAGGGCAATGCGAGGTGTTGGGGCAGCAGCCAGGGACCCATCACTGCCACTTGGAGCAGCCTTCAGGGAGGTTCCGCAAAATGTCCTCCAGGTTCTGTTTGTCGGCCCGGATCTCCACCAAGTCGCTCTCAAACGCCCGGATCCTATTCTGCTGCAGCTCTGCCTCCTGCTGCAGCTGCCTGAGCCGTGTGGCCAGGGCTCCTGAAGCATTGAGCCGCAGCCGCAGCCGCTCCAGCTGCAGCCGCCCGGCACCCAGCACCGCCTCTGCCTGCATGCCTGGCTCCAGGCCGCCTGGGTGAGGTGAGAGAGTGAGGGTGAGAGACAGGAGCAGGGCAGGATGTGGCCATGCTCTGACCCTCAGCACCAGCATCGAGGGCATCAAGGCAGAGCAGTGATCACGAATAAGCAAATAGGACTGTGGCTCCAGGCATGGCCTGGGCACATCTTTCTCTTATGTATGGATGATGATTTGTAGCCCTTACCTCAGTCTGCTCCTCTTGGAGATGACAAGGAAAAGCACTGTCCACATACCAGGCACGAGCACATGCACACCCCAATTCATTCTACACAACCCTGACACACAGCCCTGCCAGAAGCTTTGCTGGGACCCAGAGCCACCTCTGGTGCAGGGCATCCAGCTGAGCCTGGAAGGTGCTAATCCCATTCCCAACCCCATAACTGGCACACCCCTGACACCACACCCCCAGCACACCCAAGGCCCCATACCCAGGGCCACAGCCCTCACCCAGGCTGTGCAGCAGATCCTTCAGGGTCTCGATGTCTGCCATCAGTGAACCCCGGGCTTCCTGCAGGCTTTTTACCATCTTGCTCACCTCCGTCCCCACCTTGCAACACAGACAGACGCCTGGATCAGGGACACTGGTGACCCTTGGCTGGATCAGACAAGGAACAGCCTCAAGGCATTCCCTATTCTGTGCTGCTCCTGATGCTCTGTGCTTCAGACAAAGCCCCGGGACAGGATACAGCCACACGAGAGGACCTGACTCACCTTCTCTGCCTCCTCCAGGCTCCCCCTGAGCTCCTCAGCCATGCGCTGCTGCTGGGACAGCTCCTGCTGGGTCTCGTTGACACGTATGGTGAGTGTCCTGGTGTGCTTGCGAGCCTGCTTGCTACCCTGCAACACAGCCTGGGCCCTCTGCCAATGACAGAGGTGGGGACAGTCACCCCAGCAGACAGCAGCGGGGGTCCTGTTCCCTGCATCCCAATCCCTCTGCTCAGACCTTACTGCTCTCCCCAGCAACACGCTCAGCCTCCCCTGCCTTCTTCCTGGCCGAGCTGGAGACAGACAAGGAGTTTCCCAGCATTTTCTCTGCCTGTTTAATCTTCTTCTGGGCCTCCACCATCGTTCTGTCCCGCACTTGTGCCATTCTCCTTCTCAAGGCAGCACGACCCTTCCGATGCCCCAGCGCCTTCCTCATACCTGCAGGGACACCCAACCTTTGGGCACCCAGTGCAGGCACCCAGGCTGTGAGCAGAAATGTTCTGCCCAGAGCCTTTTACCTTCTAAACTGCCCAGGAGGGACTCTGCACCAGACATCACTGCTTTCCCCTGTAAGACTGCTGAGGTGGACAGATTATGAGCAGAGCCAACCCGGTCCTGGAGCTGGGGATGGGAGGGCAGGAGTGAGGCTGGGGAGAGGGCATAGAGCTGCTAGAGCCCCAGCCCGGTGCCTTGGGTGGGATGCAGGAGAAGGATGCACACAATATGCCCACATCTCCAGCTGGCACAGGGCTTCCCCATCATTTATTTTGTGGCTAAGCAGTGACTACCTGTACAAAGCTTTGAGTGCCCTGCAGGTCCCGGCGCAGCCCAGCTGCCATGTTGAGGGATGCTGTGATGCTCTGCCAAGCTGCTGGCTCCTGCACCTGCAGTATCTGCTCCAGTGCTGCCACCTCCCGTGCCAGGGCCCCAGCTTGCACCAGCAGCACCTGCTGTGGGGAGAGAGCTACCAATGACTCCAGGAGGGCATCTCCCAGCACAGGAGGGAGCAACGCTGATGGGTACAATATGGGATGCAAACAGGAGCTGGATGCTTCTCACCTGCCCTGGAGCAGCCACCTGCTGAAGCTTCTCAGCCATGCCCCCATTTGCCTCCTTGATGGCTGTGAGAGCTCTCCTGGCTTCCACTGCCACCTCTTCCATGCCAGCACCCAGCTCCTTCCATGCCCGCTGGATTTCCTCATACCTATGTGGACAGGATGCCATGGTTACCCAGGGCCAAGCAGTGCTTCAAAGCACAAGTGGCAGCTTGGGACATGGGGAAAGTGTCTGAAACACTCCCAGCATGGAGCACCCTGGCTCTCCACTTTGCAATGCTGCAGTGCAATGAGTTTGTTGGGACTCGGTCATATCCCCAGCCAGGGGGAAGGGAATCCATTGCCCCACTTCCTCACCCAGCCTCCAGCTCCTTCTGTGCCTCATGTGCCACTCTCCCCTCCAGAAGTGTCCTCAGGAGCTCATGGCTGGTGTTGGAGGCACCCAGCGCTCTCCTCACTGCTGCCTCCACCTGTGCTGCAATATCCCCGTGCCTGCAGGAACAAGGGGACATGGGGAGGTGTCACTGGGACTGGTCTCTGTGTGCTGGCATCAGAGAGGGTCAGGCTCTGGGCTTCCCTTTCCACCACCACCAACCATGAGTGTGTGCCAGGAAGGTCCCAGCACAGCAGTTGTCCCTGTGGTGCCCAACATACCTCTCTGCCAGCACCCGTGCCTCCATTGCCAAGTGGCTCCAGTTGGTGGGCAGCAGGGGGATCTCCAGGGGAATATCCTTGCAATACAAACAACAGTGAGACCCCAATGCCATACCCACGTGGATCTGCTGCCCCAAGACAGCCACTACTGTTGGGAGCCCGCACCGTGGCAGCCAGAGTGTTGGTAGCGTGCAGGATTTCCCTCTGTGCTGACTGCAGCACAGCCCTGATCTCTGACAGCAGTGTGCAGGTCTTGGTGGGTCCATGGCTGGAGCAGCCACTAGCCCTGATGGCATTGCTGAGATGGCCCCGTGCAGTGCTCAGCATCCCTGACAGCCGTCCCACCTGTGCCGAGAGCATGGCATGGGCACCTGTGAGCACATAAACAGCTGCTTAGTGCAACTGCTGGCTGTGCTGGCCCCCCATGGGTGCTTGGGGTTGAAGCGCCCACAGGGTGGATGCTCAGCCCACAGTGATGCCCACCACCAGCTGCCCCACATGGCTGTGGGGTTCATCCCTGCCCACCAAAGTGCACCAATCTGCACCTGGCATTGGCCTGCAGCACCCTGCAGTGTTCTGTCATTGCCCTCCCAGGCTATCCTCCCCATCTTTGTCATCCCATTGCTGACACAGGATCCCCTTGCATCCACCCAGTCATGTCATGGCACCCAGCATCCCTGCAAGGGTGACACAAGGCTTTCTGCTCCCCAGCCCCAGTGCAGCTGCCTCTTACCTTGCAGGAGGTGGTGTGTGCTCAGCCCATCTCCCCGGCTTGCATCTCCCATTGCAAGGGGCTGCCCCAGGTGGAGCTCACAGCCCGGTTCTTGCAGCCATTCCTCCACCTCCTGCAGCTTCACCCTGAGCCGCTCCACCTGCAGGTGAGACATGGGGGCATG